TATTGAGGAATTTTTGCAGTTCGGCCATCAAAGCCAAATTTTCTAATTTTTGCAGCCACATTTTTCACTTATAGTTTTGCTTATTTATTTATATTTTATTTATTTGGCCTCGTGCAAAAAAATCTGATATCTGATCTGATCTTTTCACCAGAAATTTGCCAGTTAGAGCTTGTCATGGCTCGGTTAATTGCATATTATCATTCCATTTTTTCCCATGTATCTGGCTTCCTCCCACACAGTCCAAAAACATGTTGAGGTTAATTGGTGATTCTAAATTGTCCGTAGGTGTGAATGTGAGTGTGCTTGGTTGTCTGTCTCTAAATGTGGCCCTGCGATGGACTGGCGACCTGTCCAGGGTGTCCCCTGCCATCGCCCTAAGTCGGCTGGGATAGGCTCCAGCCCCCCGCGACCTTAATGAGGATTAAGCGGTGTATAGAAAATGGATGGATGGATCTGTACTTATCTTAGCTCATTAGTTCTCTTCACATATATTATTTCAAACTTGAACCTAATATCTGTCATCATCAGCTGATAGCATTTGAAACCAACAAAACAAGCCTGGGCTAATTCCACCTGAACAGGTTTAAGCAGATTTTATTTCTTTTGAAATGGATTGCAACATGCCCAGAAGTATACAAAAGATATAAGTAATATGATGTGGTATGGAGAATTCTGCTCTACTGAAAAACACCTAAAACAATATAAGAAGGCAACTGTCAAAATGTAGTAACAGAAAATTGGACCTTTCAGATTTTTCCGAGGTGGGAACAGATGAGTTACAAAGTTCACCTAAATCCAGCGAAAAGTCAAAAATAATAGCTGAAAAAGTATTCACAGTACATGAAAAGCATTTTTGCAAGGTCCTGTGAGCTTAATTGAAGTTTTTACATATATATATTATTTTTAATTTATTACATGAAGTGGTGAAAGAGTTCTGTGGGAGCTGATTTGAAATAAAAGAAAGAAAGAAAGAAAGAAAGAAAGAAAGAAAGAAAGAAAGAAAGAAAGAAAGAAAGAAAGAAAGAGAAATTACTAAGCCAACTACAAGAGGTCATTCAGTAAGAGTTCTTCTCCGTATATGCATGTGCACGTGCATGACTGACATGTATGCATGCATTAATTGTGTTTATATAAATGGAGAATGCATGTCTGCTTTTGCTTGCACACATGCATACACATGTATATCTGCATTTCTTTTTAAGTGTGCGTATCTGTGTACATGTGTGTCTGTGTGTTTACCCATCGATCCAGTCTGTGTGTCAGACCGGACGCTGTCTCAAATTGATCTCCTCCATCCTATTTCTCTTGTGTAAGAACATGAAGTCTGCTTGTTGACCCCAGAATGTACCTCATTGTAATCTTGTGGCCTGATATCTGAACATGAACAAACCTGCGTTTAAGAATTGGAACCATTATCATAAGTCATTTTTTTGTAATTTAACTGAATGCAGTCTTGTCACTGTAGCTGCAACACCATATTTTTCAACTTTAAGATGCTGTTGTACTCCTTTTAGTGTTCACATTTCGAATAGAAGTTGTTATTGATTCATTCAAAGGAGTGCAAATTATTATCTTGTGATGTATGGAGAGAGACTCAAATGAAGTTCTGGCCATATAAGTGAAGATTTTAGAAAAAAACAAGAACCCTAAGCTTACAAACGGGATAACTGGTTCAGCATTTCAGTGTGTACACACGATTTAGGTCTATTGAGAAGCCGTGTGTGGGTGTCTAGGGTGGTAGAGCGGGTTGTTCACTAATCTCAAGGCTGGCAGTTTGATCCACTGTTATAATAAACAGACAGCTATGTGATTCTGTTGGAGGATTAGTGTTGAGATAATCGCAAACACTGGAAACTGATCAGCTCTGAATGACAAATATTGAACACTGATAATTTATAAACAGTCAATACCCCAATCAAGGTTTGCTTTTCCGATAAAGTCCTGACGACACTTCTAAGACTAATCATGAGAGGGTGGAGGCTGTTCAGATAAAGACTTCAAATGACGCAGATGATGCAGGGGGGTAAATTACAGAGTTTGTGACTGAGCCATTTCAAACCTTTGATGTTAAAAACAGATTACATTAGCAGGAATGATAGTTATCTGCCATGGAAACATCAAATTATTTATTATCAGATGCTACTGATGTTACATGACCGCAAAGAGCTAAAGACAGCCTTGCTCCGAGTATGTGTTTACTACAGACCACAACCATTCAGTTACATGTGCTACAAACTTCCCTGTTTAAGTGGTCAAAAAACAGTTAATTCAGTTCCTCTTTCACATTGTTTACAGAAAGCCAAACAATATGACAAGCAAGAGAGTGTGAAATGAAAATAATGGGCTGAAGAAGAAAATGTGAATTGAACACCCTGCATTTCAAACTGTACTCTAAATATCGAGCTGTAGCCACGAGCCGGTTATCTTTGCTTAGCTCAAAGCAGTGAAGAACACACAAGTTCTGAAGGTCACCAATCAGCACTTTGCTTAGTCTGTACAAAATAAGGTGTGAAAGAAACCAAGTAATACTTGTGACATTATTTCTTGAGAACTCGGTCAAACATAACATTACCCTGGATAAAACCATAAGCTGTATAAGCTGCTATGGATTCAAAGTGTCTATGCTAAGCTAACTGCTTGCTGCTGCCAGCTTCATATTTCTCTGTACAGACAGTACTTTCTAGTAAACTTACACATAATGTTCCCAAAATGTCAAGTTATAATTACCATACTGTTATTATTACAATACTATTAATATAATCAGCAAACCAGTGTGTATTTTAATAACTAAAGGCATGCTACTCTAAGTATTTAAACTAAACATACTCATATTGAGAAATGTCTCTGTCACTGTTTTATTGTGGCATAACCTATAAATGCTTTTACATGCTCACATTTGCATGTGAGAAGCATTTTGAGGTTGTAACTGGTTAAGGTGCAGCTACATTTGGCTACTTTATAGACATTTCTACTTTCATGCACTGTATAATAATAGATGGCCTTTTATATTTTGATTGTAGCTTTTATGCATGTTCTTCTGGAAAGAAACCAGTAAGTGAATCTGTAAGATAAATGTGGTAAAGTAAAAAAAAGTGCAATATTTACAACTGTGAATGTAATGGAGTTGCAAAAACTGTTACTCAAGTTTAGTACTGGAAAATTGAATGGGAATGTAATACTGATGGAATGAAAAGATAGACTAGAGAATCAGCGCCCGCATATAGGGGCCCTTATCTCTTTGGCAAACCTCATTCTGTCGCTGAGCCACTGCATTGACTAACTGCCTGAACGCCAGCCTCACTTACAGACAAGATCCCAGAGTTGCTCAGGTTAATATTTCACCAGCTTTGGCTTTCACGCACCGTTGTGAAATCCCTGCATGAATACGTGCATGTCGTGTAGCGCTATCAAGTGAGAACGGCAGGGTTAATGGTCAAAGCGGCTTATCTCAGCAATTGATCCGCTAGTATAAAAGGCAGGGATGGCAGACACTCAGACTGGAAAGGCTTCTTCAGCACTGAGCATCCAAACTATCTACTCTCTCCTTCTCCTGACAGTTCATCATCAACGTCTACATCTGCAGTCAGACATGGGAGTTGCTTACAGCGTTGGAGAGTAAGTAAAACAAATCAGGTTCCAGAATATGGTGGCGTTATCTGGAGTTCAATCAAACAGTAGTTTGTTTTGCTTAATTCATCTAATTCAAGGAAATATGCATGCACAATTGCAAAGACTTTATGCCAGTAACAGATTTTTTAAAATTGAGTTCATGTCAAAATTAAATGCACAGAAGAAAAACCTTTTGCCAAGCCGTATGGAAGTGCTGAGTGTTAATGTGTTGGGCTTTGACATAGCTGTTGTTGTCATTTCATAGAAAAGAGGATGTTGCAGCGCAGCTGCGGAAGTTTGAGGGTGTGTTAACGTGACAGAAAGAAAGTGAGGCAGGGAGGGAAAGAAAAAAAAAGGAAAAGCATGATTTCTGACATTCTACAGAAAGTAGCACATTCCAATAGGATTGCTACAAAGAGGAGTTCCCTAACTGTCACTTGTGCTCTCAAATAACCCCAGTGCGGCATGATGAATGCTGAAAACGGTTAAAGCATGATTCATTTCCCCGCTAGACATGCCCAGGCATAGCAGGCATTCTCTTATTCCTGTTTTCATTTTCTTTGTTGGAATTTTTTTTCACTCACATGGGAAGTGGAGCGTGGGCTGTCCTTAAAGTTTTAAACGTGCAGCTTACATGGATGTTCAGTATAGATATATACGTGTGTGTGTGTGTGTGTGTGTGTGTGTGTGTGTACTACTTTTGCAACATTGATCTTGAAAACCTTTGCTTTTATATTTATACTATTTATGTAAGCCATGCATGAATAAACTCCCTATCTAAAGGTGCTTAGGCACAATATATGATGCTTCTTTCTAAGTTTAAAAAAATGCACTTTGTCCTTTTGCCTATACAGGGTTGACCACCTCTACACCTTCTTTGTGCAGTGGTCACCAGATATCTACACTAAAGGCAACAAGAAACATTGTAAACCCCGCTACCTCATCAGAGAGAAGGACATGGCTGTGATCAACAAGCTCCTCAGCAACTCTGTCAACCCCACTGCGAAAAACTGGGAGGTAAGTTTGGGGCAAATGTAATTAGGTGACCACAGAGCAAACAAAAGCGCTGGGATTCATTAGGTCATGGCGGGAAGCTCTCTAGCGTTCAAGTGTTTGTAGATGACAATCCTTGCCTGGTAACTTACAGTAACAGGAAAAGTGTTTGGCAGCGATTCCTGGGATTGTGGGAAATCCTACTGTCTATATATGGACATCCTTCTCCCTCCTTTTCTGCGTCTCAGAGTCATACTCTCATTTAGTGAGAAAAGAAACTGTTCAGTGTCAGAGCTAACCAATGAGCAGACATCTACTCATGTTTCCAACCAATGGCATTGCAAGCCTACATAGTGAAAGTAACCAGGAGGTACATAAGCAATAACTGCCAGTTGAGTGAACAGACATGAGGTACATCAGAGTACAGAGCTTGATGGGGAAATCAGGAGCTATGAAGCTGCTCCCAGAAAATATTAAGGTGTTTTATTTTGCCAGTGATAGTCTGGAACCGTATGTAGAGGTAAGAATACTGTGCTGAATGGAATCATATCAGAAAGTGTAATACATTTATGAGGAAAAGAAACATTGCTTTCATTGTCATCATCCACCTGTCTATGTTTCTCGGCTTAGCTACCATCCAGAAATTTAGTTAGTAAGTTCGCTTGTAATGATTTTGTGTTAAAGTAGCATCTTACAGCCTATAAAATTTAATGTTTACTGCTTGTAAAAGAAGCTGTCAGCCACAAGATGGTACATGTACTGCAGGGGAAATTTTCTGAAAAGCACAGGACAAAAGAATAATCAGTGTGTAAAAATGTTTGACATTTGTTTCTCACCGACTGGTTGCATCTTGTTGCCTCTTGCAGATTATCACAGTGAAGGACTCTAAGCATCGTCTGAGTCTGTGCAGCTCAGTGGAATCTGAAGCAGAGGAACCAGAGTACCAGGAGGAAGCTGACAGTGTTCTCCCTGTCCTGAGCGACCACAGTCAGCTGCTAGACGACCACCACCTAGAGAGAGTAAGTTATTAGCAGCACTGATTTGATGCCTTTAACAAAAGTTTTGCCTTGATGAATATCAATAATTGTTATGAGATGTGTCAGGACTTCGTTTGACAAGCAACTGCTTTTTCAACAGCTTGCCGCTCACATGCCAGCGAGGACCCAGGGTTATCCATGGCATCTGGTGTACAGCACGGCCGTCCATGGGAGCAGCCTGAAGACGTTGTACAGGAATATGGCTGGTCTGGATAGCCCTGTGCTGCTGGTCATCAAAGACATGCACAAAAAGGTTTGCATTCTGGTCTTTAGTATTCAAGTCTTCACTTTTCAATACAAAAAAATAGTCAACACCTTGATTACCAATATCTCCTTTCATCAACTGGTGTCTTTGTCTTTTCAGGTTTTTGGGGCTTTTTCTTCCGATCCATTCAGAGTCACTAAATATTGCTACGGCACTGGAGAAACCTTTCTGTTCAGCTTTAACCCTGACTTCCATGTAAGAAAGCAAACATTTTCTGTTACCTATACTGTGGTTGTCATCAAGTCTAAGAAGTGGTGTATTTTTATCACAAGAAAATAATGTGTTTTATTTTGGCTTGAGTATTAGTTTCTAACGTGTTGTATTTGACCTTTGTCCAGGCATACAGGTGGAGTGGAGACAACTCCTACTTTGTGGGCGGCAACAATGAATCTCTTCAGATTGGTGGAGGAAGGTAAGTTATGTGGCTATTGATTTCTCCTATAAAATCTTTAAAGCAAAAAGCAACATTCTGTCAGTGTCATAATGTCATAAAAAAGCAAGGCTATAAAATAATCACTACAACAGCTAACTGTGAGATAGCCGCATTATTCTGACTCGCTACCTGTGAGATATCTGAATTTACAATACCAGTTTTCTGCAGTTGTCCTTAAACATGAATAACTTTTAAAAGATTTGACAATAACATGCTGTTCTTTTCTTTGTCTTTAGTGGGCGCTTTGCCTTGTGGCTGGATGCTGATCTGTACCATGGTGCAAGCTTCCCCTGTCCTACCTTTCACAATGCACCTCTCTCCTCACAAGAGGACTTCATTGTACAAGACCTCGAGGTCTGGACTATGCATGACTGAGTAGGAATGTTTGAAAAGATGAGACAAAAACTAAGCAGAACCTGCTGTCCTGTCTGGAGTTGCAAAACTTTAAGACTTAAAGGAACATGCGTGGTGGAGCCACTACTGTATGGATCCTGATGGAGCAGATCCAATCATGTGTGCACCTGTATCAGAGTGTTGTGGTGGTTCTCTGGCCGGGCTTTCTGTCGGTACCTGGTAAAGACAAGCGCCCAGATGAAATCCTGTGAATCAGGGCCCTGCTGTTTTAAACTACCAGCCATTCATTAGCAGCTCTGTGCTAAGCCCAGAAAGTAACTGGCATTTGAAGCTTTAAGTCCTCCATGCCCTCCTTTTATAATGGGGAGCATTACAATACAAAGTTCACAACAATACAGTTGGATGAAAATCTTGCAGCCACTGTAATCACATTCAGGATTTAAGAAAGCTCTTTTTATTTAATGTTTAACAGAGAGGCATATTTGTAAAAAAAACAAAAAAAAAACAACAACGAAACCTAAATATCTATGTATTCCCAAGTTACACTGATTATTTAATGGTACAAACACTGTAGCGTGATAGGACCCGAACAGCCTATCTGAGTTCGTAATGATGTTTGGTTTTCATGTTTTTCATTTGAAAAAATATAACAGATGAAACCAGTGAGTCTTGAAAAAAAGAAAAGAGTTGCACTATAAACAACTTAACTATCTATGAAAGTTTGCTGTTTGTGGACGAAGGGACTTTAAATATTAACTGTCACTTTTTGGGGGGGGGTTTGTGAGACACCTGTCTGCCTACTAAGAATGGACTATACTTTGTAGAAACACGTCATTTTTTGCATTTTTTTAAAACTATCTATATATTTAAATATATATATATATTTTTTTAAGAAAGCTTAAACAGGAGGCAAAGCACATAAACTGACTGTTCTTTTGTGTCTATGTTTGTATGTATGGTTCTGTCAAGCAGTGCTTGCACTGCCACTGTTTTTCTGTGGAACAACATTAAAACTGTACTTCCTGTTGAAACTGAGTAAAGCTGTGATTTTTTATTATAGTTCATTGTCAACACACCATAACTATACCATCACTTTCCGAATTAGATAGCTAGAAATAGGTACCCACAGAACAAACACATTGAAATAATCCCATTGAATAATCACATAAGAAAAGGACAAAATAGAAGAAGTAAAGGGAAAATAGTAATTACTCAAATTTGCAGTCTCCCAGATGATAAGAGCTTCAGGCATTTGAAAAGGGACTCACCATCCATCAAATTCAGTGTAGTTTGTAGTGCCGCAAGCTTACAGGACACCATACATGGAAATTATACTGTTCAAAGGCCTGCAGTCGTTAGCACCAAACACGCTAAATAAAATTACAGAGACAAAATAATTTAGAAAAAATTATTAGTGTTTTATGTTGCATGTAGCATAGCACATGTGCATCTTGTGGAAGCATATTCATGCTAATTTGTGTTAACTTAAATGTAGACATCCTACAATGAAGTTAGTACAGCATCTGTTGAGAGAAGTGTCACTTCAAATCTACGGCTTATTTAGGATTCACACAGTCTTATCTACAACAAAAGCTACATCTGTATGCAACAACAAAACTTTAGTGTTCGGAGGTTGAACGGCAAAATTCCACAGTAAAACCACAGTACAGACAGTGGTGTGGGGGCAGGAGCAGGTGGTAGGTTGTTTTTTAGGTCTGTGGACCTGGGGTAATTGTGTCATATTCCAACCACGCACACATGGAACATGTTAAGTTCAAAAAAGGCTATATATTGGAAGACATTACACTGTGACTAATACCAATATTAAGGGAGGGCTATAATTCTAGAAAAAGCCAGTAATGAGTTCAAACTAATGACATATCAATAAAAACCTTATTTTTTCACCTTTATCTTGTATTTAAAGTCAGCTTCTCCTGGCTACTGGCATATATGTGAAAACCACAGACATGTGATGACTTGTTGTTGTAAATATGCGCTATACAAATAAAATTGAATTGAATTGAATTGAATGTGGATTTTCGCCTGAAGTTTATCGTCAAAAATCATGCTGGGTCATTATGTGGCCAAACTGAACGCACGCAAGCAATTACTCATTTGACTGGTGAATGTCTATAAGATTTTAAGGAAAAATTGCCACTTGATAGACTATAAACAATAATAAGTTGCCATATGAACACTCACAAAACCCATAATTCTCCATGTATTATATTGCTTTCGTTGCTGTAAGTCACAAGTGGCTGTGATTAACCAACTTGCAGCTGGAAAGGCAGTGTGGGGACACTGATCAGAGGCTGAAGAAGAAGCCCAGTTTAGACACTGTCTCTCATGGCAATATACTGAAGCTGACTAAAGACTTGCATAAGAAAAATTCCTCAAGTCATTTAAGTAAAATGGGCCCAGGTGGCTGCAAGGTGGCGCAGTTGGTTAGCACTGTTGCCTCGCAGCAAGAAGGTGGCCAGTTCGCGTCCCAGTGGGACCGGGATCTTTCTGCGTGGAGTTTGCATGTTCTCCCCGTGCAAGCGTGGGTTCTCTCCGGGTTCTCCGGCTTCCTCCCACAGTCCAAAAACATGTTGAGGTTAATTGGTGATTCTAAATTGTCTGTAGGTGTGAATGTGAGTGTGCTTGGTTATCTGTCTCTAAGTGATAGACTGGCGATCTGTCCAGGGTGTCCCCTGCCTTTGCCTTAAGTCAGGTGGGATAAGCTCCAGCCCCCCCTCGCGACCCTAGTGAGGATTAAGCGGTGTATAGATAATGGATGGATGGATGGATGGATGGATGGATGGGCCCAGGGGTCAAGAGCATGAAAAATATCACTGCAGATTGAAATAAACGGCAGCAAAATCTTAGAGCTGCTAGGCTTAGTAAGAAGAAGGCTAATCTGCTGTATGTTAAGAACAGAAAACTCAGTATTTTGAATAGACTAACGGCGCAAGGTGGACCATTCACAACAGCTGAGCATGTTGATGAGTACCTGCAAATACAGCAGATGACTTAAAGACAAAGACCAAAAGAATAAGATATGGAGTGACACATGCCAGAGGTGCCTCAGTATCACTACCGAGAATGAGCCATGTCTTCAGGATGTTCAACACTGAAGGACGAAAGCGGAAGATGCTTACTCCTGAACAGTTGGATGACAACCTTAAGGTTCTGTTAGGCAGGGCAAAGGACAGGTTTATAGTGACACTGAGAGACTTTTGTTTGGCCATGGAGCAACTACCCTTACGTTAGGTCTTGACTGAATGAGCCTAGCCTTTCGTGTGCTGGACATACAAGGATCCATTTTGAACATTCTCTTGAAAAATAATGATTTTGAGCATCATTGTTGTATTTCATAACATGCCAGTAGCTGCAAGAAGCAAAATCACACAGAAAAATAAAGTTAGGATATCTTCTTGTTCTACAATAAAGATTGATTTTAACTCATTACTGAGTGGTTTTCCTCCCAAAAGGCATTTATAGCCTCCCCCTACTAATATAATGTTTAAAATGCATTTAATGATTTCTATAGTTTCATCCGTTATGCTAAGTGATGAAGGCTGTTGATGTTTTCAAAAAGACAACTAAGGTTTTGTTTAATTGATCGATTTGGTTTGTAATTGCATTGTTCATTAAGCAAAACATTTTAACCCACATCGCTCTCTGGTGGCAACTGTCTGTCCTTACATTTGCAATGTAGATCGACTATCTTTTGCTTTCCCCTTGTGAGTGCGATGAGCTCTTGGATCGATGCTGCAGGTCTGACTGGTGACAGTTCTTTGTACAGCAATGGCCGGAGTCGAAGCTACACAACCTGCTCAGGTTGATATTTCCAAAACTAGCAGTGTGCAGACTGAAGGATATGACAAGAAGTGTATTTTCTGCAAGATTGTAAATAATGAAATGGGCACGGAGCTCCTTCACTGTGTAAGAATATTTTGATATGTAATATTGAGTGCCTAGCTAGCTAGCATTAGCTTGTTTCTGATTGAAAAGCAGTGAAATTAGCCGTGACATGTAGCTACCGTTTCACTTTTGTTGAGACTCTGTAAATCAACTGTAATCTGAAGTGTAATATCCGTTTATTTATGTTTTATTGTCGGTTCTTTTGCCGTTTTATTGAATGCTGTCATTGTAGACTTACTGATATTCTTTGATTTAACTGTGCCTCATTTCTGCGCCCCTGACAATACAATAGGCGCAATGTTTTTATGTCGACATTTTCTGTTATTGTTAAGCTGAATAAAAATTAAAAGATTATGCAGCCACGTGAACTAACAAAATATATGAGTTAATTAAAAACAGAAAGATGTTATGAAAGAAGTGTATGTCTTATTGCTGTTGCAGGATGAAGAGATCTCGTGTTTCAGAGATATTAAACCTGGAGCTCCCCACCATTATCTGGTTGTCCCAACCAAACATGTTGGAAACTGTAAATCACTCAGCAAAGAACATGTGCCTTTGGGTAAGGTTTAAACCACACGCCTTTTAACTGATACTTGAGGAAATGTTGCCATGGCAAGACAGAAAAAATGTCAAACAGAACTACTGACACCAATTACTGGCTAACCCTGCAAGTGAGAATGTATACCTTGTGCTAAATAATACTTACCTGAATACAATATAGTTACAAAGCAAAAAGCAGTATTCTAATATAAACGTTTTTTATAGCAAATATTTAGAAAGACTCCTATGTTTTTGTTGTCATTTCCAGTGAAGCAGATGGTCGAAACAGGGAAAGCCATCCTGCAAAAAAACAATGTGACAGACCTCAGTGATGTCAGGTGGGTCACATTCACTACTGCATTTTGTAGATTATAGCTCTTCATCCTACTTTGTATTAGTGGCTCATGAGTGTCTGTGCTGCAATGTGACTGCTACAGCCATTTTCAATGAATTAACTTTTGTCACCTGATGCTATGAACCTCAGATTAAGGTTTAGTACAGTTTTCCTGTTACCATGTGAACAATAATTTTAATATAGTAAAAACTGTTATAGCGAATGTAGCTTTTGCATTATAATTTGCTACAGCAATTGAACGCATAAAACTTTAACTGAGTAAACTTCCTTGCTGTAGAGTCAGTAATACTGTTTCCTTTTTCTGCAGGTTTGGTTTCCATTGGCCCCCTTTCTGTTCTGTCACACACCTACACCTTCATGTACTGGCACCTGTCAGTCAGATGGGCTTCATGTCCCGCCTCTTCTACAGACTCAACTCCTATTGGTTTATCACAGTAAGGCCCATGCCTCAGCAGTAAAAGTGTTATTGGTTCATTGAATATAAATTAATTGCTTCTCAATCTCAAGTTTATACATCATTGGCCTGATATGTAAACAGAATAATTCATAAGTTTACTTTCAATTTGCAATATGAAAATCCCTTGTCCATATCAAAACCTCATTTGACTGAAATTTCTTTTTCATTTCTAAAAATTGTAGTTTAAAGCCCCTCAGACGTACAAGTGTTTGCAAAGCATGATGGTGGTAATTTTTTTGGCTTACATTTGATTTAAAATGTAAAGCTCTGCCCTGTGGGGGAATTTACAGTATAAAAGGTGGTATCATGGAAGTAACTGACTAGAAGAGAAACATTGTAGCTCTACATTATTAACACATGCATGTTATTGATACCAACTTTCTTTATGCAGATGGATTTATAGGGTTAATAAGCAGTGTGGTACTAATGCCTGTTCTGTCCACATTTGTCAATGTTTTACAGGCAGACCAGCTGATTGATCTTCTCAACTCTAAAGGAGAGACAAACTGATCACTTGGATCCAGTTCTTGCACGACTTGACTGTGATGAGGTGACTCACCCTTCTTGCAGATGTAATGTTGGATGGGACACACGTTACTTTGCTGTCTGTTTAGTCACAGTTAATGACAGTAGTTTAAACTGGTGACATACTTGTAACAAGACAGTACTTCATTTTTAGTTTTAATACGTTTAGTATGAAAACATTTGGGACTTAAAGCCGAGTAGAAGCTTGAATGAAGCCAAATCTTTTTCTTTTTTGCTGCTTGAAACATGTCAAATAAATGTTCAAGGAGCATTCCAGTTTTGACAGTTTGTACTGATGAAGTGAATTGAATCTACAGTAATTGAATAAAACAATATTTAGTTTACGGACCAAAGAGCATACAGTGTGATTCAGATCATTCTCAAGTTTAACGTCAAAAAAATTGAAAAATGGGTTGAGTAGAACAGTAGGTTTACTGAGAGGACTTTAATCATGTTCATGAACATCATCATTTTACTGTCACAAACACTATTCAGCTCACAAGCTGTTTGATTTCCTGTTATGCACGACTGCTTTCATGCCATGTACTTCTGATTTTATGCATGTGAAAACTGAAATATCTTGAAAATTCTGCTACAAAATGATTGATATAATAATAATATAATATAATAATAATATAATTTGTATATTGACATAATGTATTTACTGTGTTGATTACCTAAGCTGTGGTGTTCTTGCTGCATAGCTGACATGGGTCAAGCATAGAGTACCATCTTTATTAAGTATTAATAAGGCTCTTGTAAAGTGGGAAGCACAGTGCACTTCATGTTCTCAGCAAGCACTGAGTTACAATGCTGTATTTGTTTAAACATGCGCATCTGACATTTGATTTGATGTTATATGTAAAGGTCTATAAAGATATGTAATGTGGAGTAATGCTACTGTTCTATATTATCAGAATGTAAAACACTGCTCTGTACAAAAAGGTATGCACTTTAAGAATTAATTTTGAATAAATAATATAATATTGCCTCTCAGGTCTGTTATAATACACAGAATTTAGTTAACAACCTCTACCAATCAGTACTTACAGTTCTCATCTGTATCTGCAGTAACACAATAACAGGCAGAGCAGGGTTTATTTTCTTTATTATAATACCCTCAGGAGCACTTTCTAATTGAAAAATGTACTATTGCTACTGTTGCCTTATGTTAAATCACATTTATTAGTTTGCAAGACCATCACCTTAAATGGTAGCTCAGACGAAGGGGTTTATCAGTCCATGCTTACTACAGTTCTCTACCGATTATTTCTCATTTTAGTAAAGCATTTTTAGTTCATTGTGCCTGTTTATCTGCCTAAGTGTGGTTTTGGTATACTGAATGTCAAACTGTAACACGATTATCTAATTACAAAGCATACTTGTAATAAATACATGCTCTGAAGCAACCAGGACAAGTCGGATCAAGTTCTTCCTATAGCACCATATTGTCTGTCACAGGCAGCCTCATGTTCTCTTTGGCTTTGGTTCAGCCTCATTAACTACTGACTTTATTTCAGCTGCGCACTCCTCCACTTTCAGCACATAAAAAAAAAATAGTAGAGGAAATATAGTAAAATGGATTTGTTCAGCTAATGTGTAAACTGTTTAATTTTGTCATGTTTAATTTAGCTTGGTGTAGTGAGCAACGGTGAGTGAAAGCTAGTAGTTAAATCGGGAATTAACAAACATACCCTGTAAACACTGCTGCAAAGGTGGAAAATATTAGTGTAAACTCCCTTGAAACAAATATAGAGTGTATCTGTAATGCTATTTTTGATGCAACTCCAGTTAAGGTACAAATGGTGCTGGCTGCTGCTGATGTCTTATTGCTAACACTTTTTTTTTCTCGTCAGATTTGTAGCATTTTGGAATTTGGATGAACTTATGTCACCCATTTTCTTATGACAACCTTCTGCACTCCTGCAATATATTGAACTTTTGAAATTTGGAGCAAAAAAGAGAGTCATTAAGCTAATAATATAGATTTACTGCAGTCCCCTCGTTGTTCTCCTTCTGCAGTGAGTGTTTCCATGAATTAGCTGTGCACCTGTCTGTACTATATGCAGCAGGAATCAAGGCATCAGTACTAAACTAAGTTTTTGGTCACTGCACCAGAGTGATCACTACATGATCATCTTTTCCCTGCCACAGCATCTCCCCCTCAAAGTCCACCAGTCTCTGTTTCCTCGCTCGTAGAAGAATCCCCACCAGTTTGTTAGAGATAGTCACATAATGCTCAAACAGCTTCCCAAATTCTACGGCGATTACTTTCCCGTCGCTGTCACTTCTGTCCCCATCTTTTTCCCTTGGCTCTCCGATGTTCCTTATCACCTCACACAGCTCCTGAACCTCTCTGCTGATGTGTGTGTGGGCATCCTTCCCTCGCTGCTCTGTCATGGAGCCCTGCAGGGGTTTCCCGTAATCATCCTGCCCCTTCTGAGGGCCCACCACACTGGGTCTGGTGTCATGGCTGAAAGGGTTCTGCTTCTGGTACTGCTGGTGCTCATTGGACCACTTCTGCCAGTTCTCCTTCAAGCCTTTCACAGAAACTATGCATGCTGCAGTGTCATCCTTAAACTGGGCAGGAGCTGGGACATCATCCTCAGGTTCCATGATTTTGTTGCGCCGGCTGCTTGTCCCTATCGCCGACCCTGTTCGGGACAAGATTACACAGCTTTAATCAGCCAATTCTACATACGGGAATACTAGGTTTTAATGTTTTTAATGTTACTGTTTGTGTTACTTTAACATTTAAAAAGTACAACAGAATAAAAGCATCTGAATAATCTTTGGATTTTCAAACTAAACTCTCTTTCTCAAATTATTGTGTATTTTCACATTGTGTTTTGTGTTTTTGTGAGCAGCTGTATGAGAGTACATGAGTCCAGTGATGATTAGCAGTGATATATCCACGATCTGTCCAGCAAATTCAACTGAAGAAATAAGAAAATATAACACACAATAAATTACAATATATATCAAAATCAGAAAAAGAACAACCATCCTTTCAGAGATTTAAAGCAAACAGTTTTCAAACATGATCTAACTTACATGTGATCCTTCCTTCATCTGCAGTGACGCTTTATTGCAGCCAAGGTGCAAAAAGATCCTGGTTACACTTTAACTATGTAATACAGTTTAACAACACAGCAGCATTGCTGACAATAGCAAGAGTGCGGATGCCTTTCTGGCACAAGACAAAACCACTCTGTTAGACATCTGACTCAGCCAATCGTCTGGCAGAGGCAAACCGGACAGCCAATCACCGGCGAGGGTGGGCGGGAATGACAAACTGGCTCTGAAGTAAAGCAGATTACAGCCTGCAGAGGAGAGAGTTTATCTGCTCACGCATGTAGAAAGCTCCTGATGAGTAAAAGTTACGTATCGGTGACATATATTTGATTTAGTTAATAAAAGAACAAACAAAAATGTTTAAGTTATATGTATAATTGCAATATGGAATTAGAATGTGGAAACTGTTTCCCGGTCTATGTTAGAATGTGTTTCTAAACATGGTTTTCACCTGCAGATATGCATAATAATATGGGTATAAAACAACCACATTGCACAGTTAAATTGCAGCCACATTATCACAGTGAAATGAAAGACGGCACCAAATATTTCTGCCATTTTTGGTAATGTGGTCCCCAAGCGGTACTTTGGTTCAAACCCCGGTTTCGAGTCGGACATGTTTTGAATCCGCAACAAAGATGGCCGCCTCCAGTAGTCGATCATGCCTCCAGTATTTATTACATCTTGCCCAAGATAATCTGGACTTCAGGTTACCGGTAACAGTCCTAAGCTACTCCCAGTTTCTTTCTCGCTCTAAATTAAGTGTTTAAATTTTCATGAAAGACGTAGAATTGAGCAGATTTAAGTTTCTCCTCCCTCGGTGTGCTATGTTAGCTACATGCTAATCTAAACTGAAAATTAGAAGTCTGTTCTGTTTGTGAAGAGTTTCTCAACGTTTTGTCACATGATAGCAATATTTAAACACGTGACCGTCATTTAGGGAAGTGGTGGTTCACACTTTAATGATCTAATAGCCATTTTTAACCCAAACTATAATAACATAATCCTACTATGTGATTACGTTACGACACCTACATTCCCTCATATCCAGATGTCCCAAGATGCTAATTGGTTCTCTCAATATGTATATTAATTCCAAGGGTAGTAGATAGATAGGGGCAGATAGATGCCACAAATGTTAAGAAATGAATACTCATTATAGTGCACCCTAATGCTCTATAAAGAACAAAAAGAGGAAGGCTGTCACAGCCACTATTCAGGATGACATAAGAAGCATCCATGGCATCCAGGTAGATGTCCCCCACAGGATGAACTGCTAATGGAATGACTCAGACCGCAGAAAACAGAGGATGAAGAGGAGGACACATGGTGGAAATCTTCTATGTTAAATGTTGGATGAGCAGTACAGTGTTCATGGCAACTTGCAGCATATGTTGACTTTGAATTTAATTCACAACTTGGCAGAATGTGACATAATGTACAGATGTCATAAATTTTATATTTAACATACACATGATGAGAAGTATAACAGGTGTGACATAAGAAGAGTAAAGTACAAATAAAGAGTGACTTGTATTATGATTGCATGATTTATACAGTAGGCATCATGCACACATTTGTCAGTCCTTCTGTGTGTTACCCACTTTAATATTCCATGGGTGTGGAAAAGATTTCATCAAGGATACATCTATGCATTTTAACCTGTAGCTACCCTGGCAAGCCTTCTCAATATGAGGAAGGAGGACAGAGGAAATGAAGAGGCAAAAAATAATGGAACCTCAAATCCTTCAATGGGATGTGTCATTGGCAGATACAGGGGGTAGCTGAGATCTAGAAAAAGATGCTCTGAAGGACAAAACAGAGGCTCTGATCATGGCAGCAAATGGACACTCACCAGCTCAGTAAAGGCTGGGATCTATCACAGCAGACAGGGCTCAAGGGACAGTCTGTGCAAAGAGACAGTTCAGCTCATAGTAGGGAACATCGACAAGCATAACCAAGTGACCAAGTGTATAGGAACATCTTTGCTGAGTATAGGGTAGAAGTCTCCATGTCTTAGTGGGACACACGATCAATCCTGTGGGACTTCGTTTCAAACTGACAAGTAGCTGCTGGCAACCCAGTAGACATACCGGTGGTCGACAAGGAGCAGAACAGAATAGTTATTATAGATGTGGCAATCCATGCTGATAGTTACATAGGGAAGAAGGAGCACGAGAAAATTGAGTAGTACCAGGGGCTGAGGGAACAGCTGGTAATAGGAGCATTGTGGACCAAACTGAGTGAGTGGCTCTGGCAGATTGCAGGTACAGCAGCTGAGGTTTCTCTTCAGAAGGCTGCAGTCTAGGGAACAGCTACGACACTGCACAGAACTCTCAGGCTGCTGTTATAGGACTCAGGCTGGAGGAGAACAGAGCATTTTACCAATTTCACAGGAAATCAGTTTGTTTATCACAAGGATCACTGCTCAGTTCATGAGCGTTTTGGTGCTTTTAATTAAAAAAAATAAAAAATAAAAAATCTTGTGTTTGACTCTTAACATTTATAACACCCGTGTATGAGCCCAGAGGCTGGAATAGGAAGGTCATGAGCATTTACCAGAGCTTAAAAGCCTAACTTAAACATCATATAGCACTACATTATATACATTTTATGATTTGACATTTTAAAGCTTCCCTATGTTGTATTTAGCTTCCTCTGCATTTCTTCTTCAATTATCAATTTTCTTCAAGATTTTTAAAGAAAAATGTCATTCACTAATCTGCCTCAACATGTGATGTTTTCTTGAGGAATGTGATGCCTGTATCAGTATTCATGGTTTGTGTACTCATTCTTGTAGGAAATCAAAGCTCTACTGGCTCTCAGAGCAAAACCATTCCGCCCTTGTGAAAACTTCAAAGAAAAGGTTTGTGGATCAAAATGTGCATTTTAAGCTCATCCTCCATTTTTTCTGTCTTGTTTATTGAACATTGATTGGCAGAAGAACTATGATTTGACAGCATCTAGATCAAAATACTTTCATTCTGTAGGCCCTGTTTCCATACAGTCACTGCACTTCTTGCCTGTTCTTTATAGTCTCCTTTCTGGTGTCTGGATGGTTTGTGTGAGGATGATGTCCGCAGCATCATGGCCAGATCTGTTTGTGCAAAGTAAGTATTTTGGCCCAGCGTCTGTGACGACAAAGTGACTTCACTCATCTTATTTTATAGGCAGAACATGTTGCACATAAGGCCATCCAGCTCAGCCTGTGACCCCTCTATTATCTTTGTATTGTTACAATGGCTGTGATGTTGTTCCACTTCATGTAACATTTTCCTTTCAAGGTCCGCTTTTGAACTATGGGGCCACGGACGAACACACAGTGAACTCAGAACATCCA